GTTGATTTTATCAGATCTTCAGTCTTTGTTACTTGACTGCAAAAATCTCTTCTTTCGTCCTGACAAAGTACACCAAAATATCTCGTGGTATTCCGGGATCTGTTTAATCCTCATGGTATTCCGGGATCTGTTTAATCCTCAGTATTGTACTCGTCTCTAACATTTTCCATTTAAAAAAAAAATCTCTGCTTTTTGGTGAACACCACACAATGTTTCATGCCTATTTTCTGCAGAGGCAATAGAATTAAGAGATTGCAGCTGGACAGGCCAAGGAGAGATTCCTGATTGTGTTGTGTCTTCTAAAGGGTGTGAATTCTCTCCCCTCAGAGGAAGTGTCAATCACAGTTCATTGACAGGAGCTGCCAAGTCATAGAATTGTGGAGTTGGTCCACTAATGCAACCTTCTGCAACATGCAGAAGAACCAGTTAAAGCATCTTTGATAAAGTCTAGCTTCGTCTTAAAATTCTCTGAAGTTGTTGCTTTTTTTTATTTAAGAAAAAGGACTTGATATCTTTTGTTTCATAGGTGATGGTCATTCTGATAAAATAAATGCATTTGTCTGGTATTGGCTTAATATGTTGTGTGAACACAGCCAGAGCCATGTCTTTGCAAAGCAGTAGAGAAAAATCCCAACTGGGTTTATTTAAATCTCAGCCTAACATGAAGTTGTTGTTGTTGTTGTTGTTGTTGTTGTTGTTGTTGTTGTTGTTGTTGTTCTTCTTCTTCTTCTTCTTCTTCTTCTTCTTCTTCTTCTTCTTCTTCTTCTTCTTCTTCTTCTTCTCCTTCTCCTTCTCCTTCTCCTTCTCCTTCTCCTCCTCCTCCTCCTCCTCCTCCTCCACCTCTTCTTCTTTCTTCTTTCTTCTTCCTCATTTTGGGAAGCTAGTTTGTTTCTGCCTTTGCATCTGCTCATCTCTTTTACTCAGAAGAAAGTCCTATTAACCATGTTTAGAATTGACTTTAGAGTTGAACTTTTTGATGAAAATTGCCTTCAGCTACTCAGGTATTCTCTTTATAAGTAGGCTTTGGATGCCGAACAAAAAAAAAATATCTGAGAACAGAAGGAAAAGTGGAAGATTATAGAGACTTTATTTTAAAAGAATGTGTTTTCTAACTAGGGTCTTTCAGCTCCTGAGCCAATTCCATCAATATTTTTGCAAATTGGGACTGTTTCAGACACTTAGCCCTGCGGGCTTCATCTGCAAAGGAAATGCTTTCCTTTTGTGTTTAAAATCACCGTTTCAGGATTTTCCTTAGTGCTGCTTTGTCTATTTCAGTTCTCTGGGTTTGATTCTCCTGCACTGCTAGCCAACTAAAGGAATTCTACTCAGCTTTGAGTGTCAGCTTTAAAACATATCTCCTATTTTAAATAATAATAAAAAAGTTGCAAATAGCTGACTGGGATGCAAATAGCTGGTTTGGATGCAGGCTGAGCCATGTGTGTGTGCGCATGCATGTCTGCATCTCTTAATGCAAATAGCACCCACAATGGGGCAGTGCGTGGCTTCTCTCTTTTTTTCCAAGCACCCCCGAAGCAAAGAGTGAGTGTATTTGTGAGTGTATTTGCATCACCACCTCCTAAACACCCTGACTCCTCCTCCCATGAAGAGGTGGGGACCAGCTGCAAAGTGATGCTTCAGCTAGGATTCCTAAGAGCGATCCATTCGTTTTCTGCTAGTTGGCACGTCCACCACGTAAGATCTCCCGGGCTGCATTAGGGCTGGCTGAGGATGGAGTTAAGGAAAAAGTGCCGGCGTGATTCTTCGCATGAACTCTTACAAGCAGGGCTGGGTGAAAGCTTTTGCACGAGTCCTAACGCATAGCGACGGCTCCCTATCTTTTTAAGTCTGAGTTGAGCGATTGCAATAAAATATATATATATATATATTTAAAGCCTTAACGATCGGTCAGATATTGATATTTTTGCTGTCTCATGAGCAGGCTCTAAACTTTTACGATGTTTAATCTACTTCATAGCCCGTGAAAGGGGTCTACGTCTGAAGTTCATAATCTAGGAAGGCAAAATACATTTCACCTAGAAGTTTTTTTAAAAAATTACATTTGATGCAAAGAGACCCCGCTTTCTTTGAACTGGATTTTCTCCTGATTTTTCTTCCTAGCCTTGTTCTAAAGGGATTTGCGTCCAAATCAAGCTGCTTGCTTGCTTAGCACGATTTGTAAAATAGATCCGTTTTTGGAAAGAACAAAAGCCCAGACAGTTTAAAGCATACACATATTCAGGCTTTATTATGATCCCAACCAAATTTCCTGCTGGCTAAGCGGGTTCCTTTCTAATTGGAAGTGAGCTGTGTTCATATCTCTGAGCCTAGCTCTAAATGTGCATATAACTTGTCTTGAAATTATTTAAAGTGCCAAGGAGAAAATCTTGATATATCCACTCTTAGTTTATTCGCTATTTGTTTTGCCACTGATAATTCTTTCACTGATTCTTAGCAGTATAGCCTTTGGTTACCATGTGGAAAAACAGGGTTCCATTCCATGCACTTTTCATGTTGTTTATTATACTAATCAAAACAATATTTATAGTGTTAATTCAAGAATAGTAGATCCCATTCCTAATCTTTTAAAGCTTTAGATGCAGCCATGTGAAGAATACTCATTCACATTGCTCTTTTTTACACTGTCTCTTCCCCGCCTTCCCTACAGGCCAGGTTTGTTAGGTCTGCGACAGAATTTACTACAAGCCATAAATCATGGTTTATAAAGAACATTGTGGCTTAGTGTGATGCATGGAAGCAAATTGTGCAGTCACACATGCCTTGTGTAGTTCAGCTTTGCCATTGCCATGTCATTTGAGAAACGGGAACCAAAATACCAGATTTTTTTAGAATTGATGGCTGGGTTGGAAACAAGCATTTGGATACAGTGGGAATTTAAACCACAAGCCCACATTTGATTGGAAGGCCGTTCTGGGTTTAGCAAAACCATTAATCTAAATTTATGAGACAGCAAATATACCTAGTCGAGGTAAGATTTAATTGCAAGTTGCTCTTTTTTCCTTAACCTAAAAGATTTTTTAAAATCTGGCTTTTCTGAAATATCAGTTTTTCAGTCCAGTGGTGTAAATAATGATGGGGTGGGCCTTTAAATGCCATGTAGGTGTGTTGTGAGGTGCTTTAGAAATCCCAAGAATATTTTAAGACAGAGGTCTTCAAACCTGGCCCTTTAATGACTTGTGGACTTCAATTTTAAGACAAGTCTCAGCCAGGGGTCTCCAAACATGACAACTTTAAGACTTCAACTCCCAGAATTCCCCAGCCAGCTGAATTCTGGGAGTTGAAGTCCACAAGTCTTAAAGTTGCCAAATTTGGGGACCCCTGATTTAAGCCACACGGATTGCTGGCATATTGCAACAGCCGTCCTGGCTGAGCTAGATGGGAGTTGTAGTTGAACGCGTCACGCCAGGAAAGATCATTTTTAGGACAAGAGAAAAACTTAACCTTGTGGAAAAAAATAATAAGACACCCAGGCAGTTTTCATTTCTGATGTCTATTTTATCACCCAGGCCGTTTGTGAGTGATGCATTTCAAAGAGGTGAGGAAGGGATGTGGTTTGACCAACTCCTGTGATCGAGGAAGGCTTTATTTTGCATACAAGCCTGATTTGACTAAGTGGAGCAAATTTGATTTGGAGAGAGGAGAAGGGTAAAATTGGGGGGGGGGGTTCCCTATGTTTTTGTTTGATTGAATGTAGGTCTTAACTAATCCTTAACTAATGGCACTCACTCACCATGTGCCTTTTTTATTAAATATGTTTGCCGTTCACCTCACCAGAAGGGAACTCTTTTTCAATCTGATCTCTTATTTGTGATATTAGCCCCATTCTGCAGATAAGGAAGACTGAGGCTAAGAAGCTGTATGTTTACAGCCACGCACCAAGATCGTGAAAGAATTTGGATTTTTTTTAAAAATATATATGTTATTTTTAACATACTCACCTTAATATTTGGTAAGCAGCGTGTTGTCTGGGTTTATATTTAAAAAAAACAATAACAATTAATTTCTCTTAATTCTGCAGTCCACATAATGGCTTCGCTTGATTTTCTCTTCTTCCAATAATATTCCCTTGTGCCAACCTTACATTAATACAGTTCTTGTTATTTGAATAAATGACAATTAAATATAGACATTTTTCTCATGTTTCTGCAAATAATAACCACATCAGTATAAAATAAAGCCTCTTTTCTAATTGATCCTCTGGATTGCCTCGTCATAGATAAAATTCTTATTTAAATTTGTTTTCCCCACAATATTCCAAACATTCTTTACTGGCTGAGATTTTCTCAGAATTAGTTAACACTTAAGTATTTAAGTCTTTTTTCTCACACAAAGGAAGAAGAATTTGGATTTTTAAGGGCAGCCTTTTCCATTTGCAAGTGAGCTTTTTTTTAAACTTTTGATTAAGCCAGGGGTAGGCAACCTTGACTCTTTTATGACTGGTGGACTTCAACTCCCAGAATTCCTGAGCCAGCCATGCTGAGGGGAAAGGGAGAGGTTTCCAAGCTGAGCCATGCTGGCCCAGGAATTCTGGGAGTTGAAGTCCACAAGTCATGAAGGGACCATAGTTCCCCCATGCTGGCTCAGGAATTCTGGGAGTTGAAGTCCATGAGTCTTAAATTAGCTAAGGTTGAGGAGCCCTGATATAGGGCAGGGGTGGGGAACCTTGGCTCTTTTTTGACTGGTGGGCTTCAACTCCCAGAATTCCGGAGCCAGCCATGCTGAGGGGAAAGGAAGAGGTTTCCAAGCTGAGCCATGTTGGCTCAGGAATTCTGGGAGTTGAAGTCCACAAGTCATAAAAGAGCCAAGGTTGCCTACTCCTGGATTAAGCAAAGTTCCCGGGCCGTCTCTCTCTCTCTCTTTTTTGCTACTTATGAATGTTTGGGTATGCATGTATTGGAAATAAAAGTACAATATAAAAGCCATTTCGCCCTAAAATATTTTTTTAACTGTCTTTTTTTTTCTTTCTATCTTCCTCCCTGCAGTATGTGGTCCACAACTCACCAATTCCCCCACGGTCATCGTGATGGTGGGTCTGCCGGCTCGCGGGAAAACCTACATTTCCAAAAAACTCACCCGCTACCTCAACTGGATTGGTGTGCCGACAAAAGGTGAGTGTCAACGCTGCTAACATCGGATGTTTTTGCCTCGACAACAGACGGAGATGCAACACTTTTCTTCTTGTGTTTTACTCTTAGAATTAGAGCTAGAGTTAGATGATGCTGGGGGGGGGGAGGAATGTGCATGAGAGTTTAGCTAGACATAACAATATTGAACCTAGCATGAGAATCAAGGTTATTGAAATAAGAGATGATAAGAATTGGCGGGCTGGAGAACTGGAGGGAAAACCTGCATTTCAAACTAATTGGGGAATGTGATTTATCACTGTTAATTGGAGGAGGGAATTGTGCTTTGATACTATGTGCTCAGGGGAGGGGAATCCAGTTTTTGGCTTCAACTGTGTTAGTGCCAGATGCTATGCTTCTCAAATAAAGATTCTTTAAGGTAAACAATGCCTCAAAGTTCTTTGAAGAGTTTCATCTGTCGGAACCCTGACATTGAGCTCTGAGGCAAAGCGATTTTTAACGGGTCTGAAATCAAAGCCTTAGGTCGAGCTTGAGGCCTTCAGCTTGATGGGTACAGGTAGTCCCCAACATTGAGCCGTCGTCGCTAAGCGAGATGGATGTTAAGTGAGTTTGCTGTCTTTCTCGCCACGGTTGTTAAGCGAATCGTGGCGGTTATTAAGTCACACCATTGTAAAATGAATCTGGCTTCCCCCTTGACTTTTGGTTGTTGGAAGGTCACAAAAGGGTATCCCGTGATCCTGGGGACACCACAACCGTCGTAAATACGGGCCAGGTGCCAAGCGTCTGAATTTTGGTCACATGACTGTGGGGATGCTGCAATGGTCGTAAGTGTGGAAAACGGTCATAAGCCACTTTTTTCAGCGCTGTTGTAACTTTGAACGGTCACTAAATGAATTGTTATAAGTCAAGGACTACCTGTATGGAATTGGCGTGGTAACAGTATTGAAGTGGGGTGCTGTTAATGTCCAAGAGTGGATACTGTGGCTGTATAAACCACAAACACAGCTTGGGTGAACTCTGGAGGATCAAGCAGGAGATCAAGTTTGGAAGGGAGGGGAACCACTAGGAAATCTCAAGTGGACACAAATTTTTTTTTTAAAGAAAATGCATTGTACAAGCAGCTTGATTGACGTCTTCATCTCCTTTGCAGTGTTCAATGTTGGCGAGTATCGCCGTGAGGCTGTGAAACGGTACAGCTCTTACAACTTCTTCCGTCCCGACAATGAGGAGGCTATGAAAGTCCGCAAGTAAGCCTGATGGGTTTCTAAATTTCTTTTGAGTTGTCTGTTTTTCTTTCTTTCTTTCTTTCTTTCTTTCTTTCTTTCTTTCTTTCTTTCTTTCTTTCTTTCTTTCTTTCTTTCTTTCTTTCTCTCTCTCTCTCTTTCTTTTTCTTCCTTCCTTTCTCTCTTCCTTCCTTTTTTCTTTCTTTCCCTCCTTTTCTCTTTCCCTTTCTTTCCCTTCCTCCCTTCCTTCCATTTTTCTTTCTTTCCATCTTTCCCTCTTCCCCTTTCTTTCCCTCCCTACTTTTCTTCTTTTCCTCTTTCTTTCCATCTCTTTCCTTTCCTTCTTTCTTTCTTTCTTTATTTATTTTTCTCTTCCTTCCTTCCTTTTTTCTTTCTTTCCATCTTTCCCTCTTCCCTCTATCCATTTCTTTCCCTCCCTACTTTTCTTTATTTTCCTCTTTCTTTCCCTCTCTTTCTCTCTCCCTCTTTTCCTTCCTTCCTTCCATTTTTCTTTCTTTCCCTCTTTCCCTCTTCCCCTTTCTTTCACTCCTTTTCTTTCTTTCCCTCTTTCTTTCCCTCTCTCTCTTTTTCCCTCTTTTCCTTCTTCCTTCCTTCCTTCCTTCCTTCCTTCCATGTTTCCCTCCCTACTTTTCTTTCTTTCCCTTTCTCTTTCCCTCTTTCCCTTTCTTGGTCGTAACTTGGGACCGACGCTAAGCGAGGACCACCTGTATCAGAGTAGCCCTTTTCCAACCACGGGAATAGATTGTTACAGGAAAGTCTTTAACTGTCCTGCTTTCGGCACTTGAGAGAGGCAAATCCACAGCCGTATTCTTCGGTGTGTAAATGGAGACATTGTCCTTTGTTGACCGTTCCAGCTGACTGTTTGAACAAGACACAATTGCCTCCTTCTCCTAAGGAGCTGGGGTGGCGTCCAAGCGCCGGTTTTGTGGCATACAAAAGCCCACAACAGATTCCATGGCCGAAGGGCTTTGCCCTGGCTGGGGAAAGAGAAAGCAACTGCTTCGCAGGAGTCAGACAATCTGCAAGCGACCTCAGCTGCATGATAAAAGGAATTTTATTGCGAACAGAAATTTCTAAAATCCAGACTGCAATTGCTTTGTGTGTGTGTATGAGCTTCCACCTATGTATCAATTAAGGTGCTAGTCCTCAGGGTTATGGATAAAGCTACACAAACCTCGGCAGCGAGTCCTCAACTTACAACAGTGCCTTTTGAAGTTACAGCAACACTGAAAAAAGTGACTTAGGATCAGTTTTCATACTTAACGACCGTCGCAGCATCTCTGTTCAAAATTCAGAGGCTTGGCAACTGGCTCGCATTTATGACGGTTGCCGTGTCCCGGGGTCACATGATCTCCTTTTGCGACCTTCTGATGAACAAAGTCAATGGGGAAGCCAGATGCACTTAACAACTGTGTTACTAAATTAACCACTGCAGTGACGGTCACTTAACAACTTAGCAACAGAAGTTTTGGGCTGAATTGTGGTTGTAAGTTAAGGATCTGCTTTATTTAAGCAGCAGTTCTGGAAACTACCCGATGATGATGATGATGATGATTATGATGATAGTTCGAAGGGACCTTGGAGGTCATCTAGTCCAACCCTCCATATGTGTGTATGGAGATTATCAGTCATCAAGGTCACAGTTACTAGAATAGAATAGAATAGAATTAAAATAACAAAGTTGGAAGGGATCTTGTAGGTCATCTAGTCCAACCCTTCCTAAGCAGGAGACGTCTTCAAGGAAAAACAAAGAAAGTTCAGTTGCCTTTTGAAAAAACACCCTTGGGGAATGTGAATACATCTAGTTTTTACTCCCACTGTGGAGATTTTTAGAATGTTATTATATTTTTGTCCTTCCTGAAGCTGGTTGCAGAGTATCTCCTTTTTCTGCACTAAGCACATTTCTGACAGAAAGTGATACGTTTATCTTAAGGGACCTGGTGAAGGAGCAGTATATCTTTGGTGAAGTGGGGTGGAGTGCATCCAAAATTACCTTTTAAATTCTTATTTAAATTTATTTTCCGTACAATGTTCAAAACATTCTTACTGGTTAAAATTTATGATGAGGCAAACCAAGATGACCAGATAGAAAAGAAGCATGATACTGAGGTGATTACTCTTGGTAGAAATTTTACAAAATTACCTCATCAATGCTACTCCTAGATGACAATCCAAAGATCTCAAGACCCTGATCTCCATGCTGCTATCTCGCAAACCAAATAGCCTGAGGGTTGTTTTTAAACTGTTGTGTGATGATCTAAACAGGCCTTAATCGGCGGCGTTTTGTGCTTTACTTACAGACAGTGTGCCTTAAGTGCCTTGAGAGATGTCAAACTCTACCTGTCTGACGAAGGTGGTCAGATTGCAGTAAGTGATGTTCCTTGAAGACATCTTGTGAAGATGTCCTTGTTTGACACAGCCCTGCCTGGTCTAATTTAAATTGTTTTAATGAAACTCCTCCAGACCTACCTTGTGGTTTTAAATTTGCAGGAATCCCTAGAGATCCCCAAGTCCACAGTAGGTGGAAACTTGTGATTCCAATAAAGGGGAATATTTGTAACAGCATTGAAATGAGGGGTCCTTGGTGCTCTCTGAGCTGGGTTGTTTCCTTGCAGACGTTTCATTACCAACCTAGGTAACATCATCAGTGCTCGTGATGATGTTAGCTAGTTTGGATAACAAAATGTCTGCAAGAAGACTACCAAGTTCAGAGAGCATCAAGGATCCCTTTGAATTTTTGCTGGTCTTTTTTTTTTTATTAAAAGTTTTTACAATTTTACAATAAAATCCCACTCCCACTACCTCCCTACCCTCCCAAAAACCCTCCCCCCCTCTTCCCAGAGCTGAATACAGGGTTAACTAGAACTAAAAATACAAAACATTTAAACTTAAGTAAACCTCAAACAAAAGTTACATTAAATAAAAATCCAATATTTATATATAATAAAAAATACTTATTATCTTAAACTTTAAACTTTAAACATAAATTATTCAAAAGCTAAGTAATATCCTTTAATATCATACTTATACTGTGTAAAATTTATCCATCTTTTCCACACCAAGAGCTATTTCTCTTGCGATTAATCTTTCAAATAAGCCGAAATTTTTGCCATTTCAAATAAATAAGAAACTTTTAAAAAGCATACCTTCAGAATTTTTGCTGGTCTTGATGGCCAAAAATATGTGGGATGGTAGTCTGGCTTTTTTTTATTATTATTTGAAGAGAAGAAAAGATCAACCTTGCACTGGGACCTTAAAGATCCCAGGTGTGATTGTTTTTTTAAACCCTGATTATTCCACCCATCCCATATCCATGATGGAGGAATTGTTTTCAGTTATGGAAAGCAACTGCCAAGGAACTGGGCCCATCCCGTTTCACAGTTGTGGGTCTGCTTCTTTAATTTGAAGATGGTTGAGATCCTGGAAAAGTTGATCTCCTTTTGCTGAAAACCAACAAGCTGTCTAATGTCTCTTTTTTATTTTTCTTTCTCCCCCCCCCCCAGGTTTTTGACGCCACCAACACAACTCGCGAGCGAAGATCCATGATCCTGCATTTTGCCAAAGAAAATGGATACAAAGTGAGTGACATTCTTGAACCACAAGGTGAAGGAATTTAAGACTTGGCCTTCAGCTATTTGTACAGCTTCCCTCCCTCAGGACTCTTTCTAGAGCAGGAGTCTTCAAACGTGGCCCTTTTATGACTTGTGGATTTCAACTCCCAGAATTCCTCAGCCAGGCACGTGTTCTGAGGAATTCTGGGAGTTGAAGTCACAAGTCATAAAAGGGCTAAGTTTGAAGACCCTCAACATCTTTTTTACATCGTGGTGACCAAAACTGGATGCCGTATTCCAAGTGTGGCCTTGTAAAGTGGTATTAACACTTCACGTGATCTTGATTCTATCCCTCTGTTAATGCAGCTTAGCACTGTGTTGGCTTTTTTGGCAGCTGCAGCACACAGCTGGCTCATATTTAAGGGATGGTCCACTAGGACTCCAAGATCCCTTAATTCTAATATCTTCTGCTTCATTCAGGTGTTCTTCATTGAATCCGTCTGCAATGATCCCACTGTGGTTGCTAGCAACATCATGGTAAATATATGAAGACGGTTTCCTATCTCTCAAGTCCTCTCTTCTCTTTCAGAAAATTCTTTTAAATATGGGCTGGAGAATAATAACTCCTGGGAAGGGGTCATAGTTGAGGGAGACAACATCCATCTTGTATGTTCTGCAATGTCTCCATTCTCGCCAGCGTCACACGTAGTCCTCAACTTACTGCAGTTCATTTAGTAATGGCAGTGAAAAAAAGTGACTTGGGACCATTTTTCACATGACCGTTGGCCATCCCCATGGTCACATGATCGAAATTGAGACTCTTGGCAACTGACTCATCTTTATGACGGTTACAGTGTCCCGGGATCACATGATCCCCTTTTGCGACCTTGGGGAAGCCAAGTTCATTTAACAACCGTGTGATTCATTTCACAACTGAGTAAGCAAGATGGGGGAAAACTCACTTAACTGTCTCGGTTAGCAGCAGATATTTTGGGCTCAATTGTGGTCGTAAATTGAGAACTACCTGTAGTACTGAAGCCACAAGGCAGATTTTGAACACGGTGGACATTATTATGTTAACAGCGTTTGTTGACCTTGTCAACTCTTAAGATGTGTGGGCCAACTCCCAGAATTTGGCTGGGGAATTCTGGGAGTTGAAGTCCACACATTTTAACGAGTTGCCAAGGTTGAGAAACACCGCTTGTTAACATTGCTAGAATAGGCTTGATGTAAGGATGGGCCTGTTATCATTATCTTTACCTTTCTAACATTTCCTATTTTAGGAAGTCAAGCTGTCCAGTCCAGATTATAAGGACTGCAACTCAACAGACGCCATGGAAGATTTCATGAAGAGAATCAGCTGTTATCAATCTAGTTACCAGCCTCTTGATCCAGATGGATACGACAGGTGAAAAAAAAAAACCCACTGAGATAACTACTCCTAGTTCAGCTGGGTCTAGATTTGCCTTCAGGCAACTAAAACTAGCTGGGCGCTAGCATGAATGTGTTCCTCACTGCAAGATGTACGAGGAGGAGAGTAGAGTAGGATAGAATAGGATAGAATAGAATAGAATAGAATAGAATAGAATAGAATAGAATAGAATAAACAGAGTTGGAAGGAGCCTTGGAAGTCATCTAATCCAACCCCCTGCTCAGGCAGGAAACCCTATACCATTTCAGACAAATGGTTGTCCAACCTCTTCTTAAAAACCTCCATTGTTGAAGCATTTCCCTGTTGGTCATCCTGTGCTATTTTTGTCCCTAGAGAGTTGTCGCTCATCAAAGTGATTGATGTCGGTCGAAGATACCTGGTGAACAGAGTCCAGGACCACATCCAAAGTCGGATTGTCTACTACTTGATGAACATCCATGTGCAGCCCCGGACCATCTATTTGTGCCGGCACGGCGAGAGCGAATTCAACCTCAAAGGGAAGATCGGGGGCGACTCGGGGCTCTCCACCAGAGGCAAGAAGGTACGGGTGGGATTTACTCCTGAGTAAATGGGGATGGGAGCGAGCTAGTAGGGACGTAAGCCAGAATTGCCTTCACAGAGAAGAAGAGGTGACCTTCACAAAAGCCAGTGAACGTCCTTTGAAAACATCTTACAGTGCTTGTGGTGATCACCAAGGCCAGGGTTAGGCAACCTTGGCTCTTTTATGACTCGTGGACTTCAACTCCCAGAATTCCCAAGCCAGCCATGCTGAGGGGAAAGGGAGAGGTTTCCATGCTGAGCCATGCTGGCTCAGGAATTCTGGGAGTTGAAGTCCACGAGTCATAAAGTGGCCTAGGCCTAGGGCAGGGGTAGGCAACCTTGGCTCTTTTATGGCTGGTGGACTTCAACTCCCAGAGTTCCTGAGCCAGCCATGCTGAGGGGAAAGGGAGAGGTTTCCAAACTGAGCCATGCTGGCTGAGGAATTCTGGGAGTCGAAGTCCATGAGTCATAAAAGAGCCAAGGTTACCTACCCCGGGTTTAGGAGGCTCACCACTTAGAACAGGAGGACTTAGGATAAGGGGTAGGCAACCTTGGCTCTTTTATGACTCGTGGACTTCAACTCCCAGAATTCCTGAGCCAGCATGGCTCAGCTTGGAAACCTCTCCCTTTCCCCTCAGCATGGCTGGCTCAGGAATTCTGGGAGTTGAAGTCCACCAGTCATAAAAGAGCAAGGTTGCCTACCCCTGACCAAGCTAACCAATTTCTAAAGTATTTCTTGAGAAATCTCCCTGATGCAAAAAGACAAACTTCACTTTAGTTTGTTCCTCCATTAAAAACCTTTTGGAAGACAGAGAAACTCTTCAGACTCTGTGGGGGAAATCTTGAAGCTTCTGGAGAACTTTGTGGTTGTCTAGATTCTAGAAGACGTTCTTAAAAGGAGTTCCATCTTTCTCAGTCTGGTGAAGGAAGATCAAATAGCTTTTCTATTTTCTTCTCTCGGCAGTTTTCTTGGCAACAATATCAAAGTAAATTTCCAGGATTTATTTGTGGTTTTTGGTTTTTTTCAAATTTTCCTGTCTGGGCCAGACCAAAAAATACATTTTTCTTTGGTCCTGACAAACTACAGGAGCTGAATCACAATTTTCTGTATTTCCTTTCTTTTCCAGTTTGCCAGCGAGCTGAATAATTTTGTCAAGGAGCAAAACCTAAACGATCTCAAAGTCTGGACCAGCCATCTAAAGAGGACAATCCAGACAGCAGAAGCCCTTGATCTGCCCTACGAGCAGTGGAAAGCTTTGAATGAAATTGATGCTGTAAGAAGCCCACCTCCACACACTTTTTTTTCCCCTTTGATTGCAGAATAAATAGAGGGTTTTGGTGGGAAAAGCTGTCATCTTCACACACACACACACAAACACACACACACACTCTGACTCTGCAAAGGGATCCTCCTGGCTCTCCTAGGAAGGATTGAAAAGAATTGGATGATCACCCTTCTCTTATTTTGGGAGAAAGAGGCCTTTATTTTCCTGTCAGTTGTGAGAGTGTGAGAATTAGTTCCCATACAGTTGTGTAAGCACAAGATGGGCAGGTGCAGAAACATAAGGGCAGGAGGCCAGCCTGTTGGAGAGAGAGGACGTTTTTGCCTAAAGCTGGAAGGAAAAAAAAAGAATGCAAGAGAGTTTTTGGAACTTCTTTCTACATAGCAGGAATCTCCAAACCTGGCGACTTTTAAGACTTGTGGACTTCAACTCCCAGAATTACTCAGCCAGCCAGCCAGGTAATCTGAATAACCAGGCTGTTTGTGTAGAATTCTAGGAGTTGAAGGCCACAGATCTGGAAGTTGTCCAGATAGGGAAACAGGTTTTGTACCAACTGGCAGAGACACCTCTAGGTCAGGGGTAGGCAACCTTGGCTCTTTTATAACTTGTGGACTTCAACACCCAGAATTCCTGAGCCAGCCATGCTGAGGGGAAAGGGAGAGGTTTCCAAGCTGAGCCATGCTGGCTCAGGAATTCTGGGAGTTGAAGTCCACGAGTCATAAAGCTGCCTAGGCCTAGGGCAGGGGTAGGCCACCTTGGCTCTTTTATGACTTGTGGACTTCAACTCCCAGAATTCCTGAGCCAGCCATGCTGAGGGGAAAGGGAGAGATTTCCAAGCTGAGCCATGCTGGCTCGGGAATTCTGGGAGTTGAAGTCCACGAGTCATAAAGCTGCCTAGGCCTAGGGCAGGGATAGGCCACCTTGGCTCTTTTATGACTTGTGGACTTCAACTCCCAGAATTCCTGAGCCAGCCATGCTGAGGGGAAAGGGAGAGATTTCCAAGCTGAGCCATGCTGGCTCAGGAATTCTGGGAGTTGAAGTCCACGCCTCATAAAAGAGCCAAGGTTGCTTACCCTTGCTCTAGGGTAGGGGTGTTCAACCTTGGCAACTATAAGACTTGTAGACTACAACTCCCAGGATTCCCGAGCCAGCCATGTTGAAGTCCACAAGTCTTTATAGTTTTCAAGTTTGGGGAAGCCTGTGTAGAAAACAGCAGATGTTGAAAGTCTTTGAGTTATGGCGGGCTGAGTGCAGTCTGGTGCACAGATTGACAGTGCAGTCTGGTGCACAGATTGGAGAACGGGCTATAAAGTGAATTTCTCCTTCTCCTCCTCTTCCTCCTCCTCCATCTCTTTGTTCTTGTAGGGTGTGTGCGAAGAGATGACTTATGATGAAATCAAGGAAAAGTATCCCGAAGAATTTGCTCTGCGCGATCAGGACAAATATTATTACCGCTATCCATCTGGAGAGGTGTGTGTTTTGGTACACCAAGTGTGTTTTTAACCATCGGGTGGGATGCCCAAGCAATGTGCTAGTGCTAACCTCCTAGATCAGTGGTTCTCAACCTGTGGGTCGGGACCCCATTTGGGGTCGAACGACCATTTCACGGGGGTCGCCAAACAACACAGTCCGCCATTTTTTTCCCCCTTTTCCTTAGCTGTGCTACTCCCTTTTATTCTATTGGCTTTTGAAAGCCGATAGAATAGACTCTCTTGAATAGAGTCTAATTCTATTGGCTTTCAAAAGCCAATAGGAATTGTGCAGGCTGTCTCTGCCCTGCTGAGCCCACCAAAAGTCCCATTCTGCAAACGTTGCTGCACCGGTTGAGTAGTCCTCGACTTATGACCGGTTGGGGGTCGCGGCATTAAAAAGGTTGAGAACCATTGTCCTAGAGCCTGAAATTGGGGGGGTGTCTTATATTCCCCCCCTTATCTCATGTGGCTCTTTGGCCAATATTGGAATTATTAAAATGCGCATAACTATGTACAGGTAATCCTTCACTTAACAACTGTTCATTAAGCAACTGTTCCAAGTTACACCTGCACTAAAAACAAGTGACTTAGAACTGATCCTCTCCTACAGATAGTCCTTGACTTACGACCCCAATGGACCCCAAAGTTTCTGACGTTAAGTGAGACATTTCGCCCATTTGACCACCTTTCTTGCCCCACCTTGTTAAGCAAATCACTGCAGATGTTAAATCAGTTACACCGTTGTTAAGTGAATTTGTCTTCCCCATGGACCTTGCTTGTCAGAAGGTCTTAAAAGGGGACACTGCAACTGTCATAAATATGAGTCAGTTGCCAGGTGTCTGAATTCTGATCATGTGACGATCGTAAGGGTGAAAAACAATCAAGGACAACCTTTATTAAAGGAGGCCAAGAAATTCCTCGTACAGGATCCAAGATTGTCTATTTTTCGCACTGAAATCTGCATAGTTTTTGCTTTCTTTAATCAGGGGTTTCCAACTTTAAGACTTGTGGACTTCAACTCCCAGAATTCCTCAACCAGCCAGCCAATTAATCTGAATCACCAGGCCATCTATTTAGAATTCTGGATGCTGGTGGAGGAATTCTAGGAGTTAAAGTCCACAAGTCTTAAAAAGTTGCCAAGTTTGGTGATCCCCGCTGATGTCTAGCTCTGCAGCTCCTTTATTTCTTCTGAAAGACAAAACCTGTTTCTCACCTTCTCTTTGTCCTTCCCTCCCCCCCCCCCTCAGTCCTATCAAGATCTGGTCCAGAGGCTGGAACCAGTGATCATGGAGCTTGAAAGACAGGAAAATGTCATTGTGATTTGTCATCAAGCCGTGATGAGATGCCTTTTGGCTTACTTCCTCGACAAAAGCGCAGGTGGGTCTCTGCTCTCTGCAGTTTCTCTGACGCAGGAATGGAAGAAAAGAATTTAGGGTTAGAATGAGAATAACCGAGTCGGAAGGGACCTTGTAGGTCATCTAGTCCAACCCACTCCCCCGCCCAAGCAGGAGACCCTACACCAGGGGTAGGCCACCTCGGCTCTTTTATGACTCGTGGACTTCAACTCCCAGAATTCCTGAGCCAGCCTGGCTAAGCATGGAAACCTCTCCCTTTCCCCTCAGCATGGCTGGCTCAGGAATTCTGGGAGTTGAAGTCCACCAGTCATAAAAGAGCCAAGGTTGCCTACCCCTGAATTAGGAGGCTCACCGCTTAGAACAAGAGGACTTAGGCCAGGGGTAGGCAACCTTGGCTCTTTTATGACTCATGGACTTCAACTCCCAGACTTCCTGAGCCAGCCTGGCTCAGCATGGAAACCTCTCCCTTTCCCCTCAGCATGGCTGGCTCAGGAATTCTGGGAGTTGAAGTCCACGAGTCATAAAAGAGCCAAGGTGGCCTACCCCTGGCCTAAGTCCTCTTGTTCTAAGCGGTGAGCCTCCTAGAGCAGGGGTAGGCAATCTTGGCTCTTTTATGACTTGTGGACTTCAACTCCCAGAAATGCTCAGCCAGCCTCCATTTTGTTTGTTAGATTTAAGACAGGGGTCTTCAAACCTGGCCCTTTTATGACTTGTGGACTTCAACTCCCAGAATTCCTCAGCCAGCCTCCATTTTGTTTGTTAGATTTAAGACAGGGGTCTTCAAACTTGGCCCTTTTATGACCTGTGGACTTCAACTTCCAGAATTCCTCAGCCAGGCACACCTGGCTGAGGAATTCTGGAAGTTGAAGTCCACAGGTCAAGTTTAAAGACCCCTGTACTGGATTAAAGGGGAGTGTAAAGACAGGCTGGATACCCTTTGTGGCGCTGAATAACATTAATCCAGTCCATCATTTTTAATTCTTTTTTTTTTTTTCCTTTCAGAAGAAATGCCTTATCTGAAATGTCCTCTCCACACAGTCCTGAAACTGAGTCCTGTGGCTTACGGTGAGTAAATATATTTCGTAAGTGACTAGATAAGTTCACACAATACGCTTGGCTTGGCTAAAATCTGGCAAGCGAGACAGTTGGTGTGGGGACAGGAAATCCTCAAATTACAGCCATTCATTTAGTATCCATTTCAAGTTACAAAGGCACTGAAAAAAGTGACTTATGTTCCATCCTTCTGAGGCTGGTAAAATGAGGACCCAAATTGTTGGGGGTCAATAGGCTGACTCTGTAAACTGCTTAGAGAGGGTTGTAAAGCCCTGTAAAGCTGTATATAAATCTTAAGTGCTATTGCTATTTTTCACACTTACAGTCTGCTGCCGCTCCCAAACTACAAAGGAAGAATCAACAACATATCTTTTTAGCAAGAAAATGGGGGCTTGTTACTACTGCCTTCCCTTCCCCATCTTTGACTCTTATCTGGGCGTTGAGATAAGATGGAAGTCAGTTCAGCTCAGTTGTTAAGATAATCCACAGAATGCAGAAGGATCCATTTAGCACTGATTGTATAAACCCCGATCAACGCCCCATAACCCTATCTTAACTTTATTTGCCATCAGAACTGATGGTTTAGCCCAGGGAAATTGCTCTTTGTCTCACTCCCTATTTGTTTATCCCATTTGTTTTGGGCAAAACAAATGGTGTTATCCCAGAGCAGAGCATAAATGAAATTCTTGGGGCTGTTCCCTAATGAAAGAAATTAACGGCTGCTGTTATTATACTTTTGACTGGATTGGAATAGCCTTGCTTTTCTCTCTGGCGTTCCCAAAGGACACCGTTGCTTTTAAAAATTAATCGCCCAGCTGATTTGATTTGAGTTACATTTAACACCTCCTGCTCCAAGTACTTAGGTCTGTTTTGATCTCGTAATCTGATTAAACAGTGCAGCTGAAGGGCTAATGTATTCCTCATCCCGCCATATCCTTTTTTCCTCTCTCTCTCTAAGGCTGCCGAGTGGAGTCCATCTATCTGAACGTTGAAGCTGTGAATACTCACCGGGACAGACCAGAGGTGAGCTGGTTTGCTAAGAGGCCATTCTCTCCCCCCCACACAAACACATCTTATGTGCTCATAGCACAAACGCCTACTCCCCCCAAATGTTCAGCATTATATCCATTTTCTTGCCCAACGCTAACCCCTGGCTTGGGACAGTGGGATAGCAATTACCCCAATACTAAAAAATAGGGGGTAAAAATCAAATTTGCCTGCATTGTTGACTTGTTCAAAGTAATTCCCATATATAAGGCCCTAGTGCAGCGGTTCTCAACCTGTGGGTCGGGACCCCATTTGGGGTCGAACGACCATTTCACGGGGGTCGCCAAACAACGCAGTCCGCCATTTTTTTCCCCTTTTCCTTAGCTGTGCTACTCCCTTTTATTCTATTGGCTTTCGAAAGCCAATAGGAATTGTCCAGGCTGTCTCTGCCCTGCTGAGCCCGCCAAAAGTCCCATTCTGCAAACGATGCTGCACCAGTTGAGTAGTCCTCGACTTACGACCGGTTGAGTAGTCCTCGACTTACGATCGATCGGTTGGGGGTCGCGGCATTAAAAAAGGTTGAGAACCACTGCCCTAGTGCTTAGTAAGGAAGTCAGTCTTCTAAATTGGCGATTCCAATGGCCTATGTGGGGCCCGCATGTCTGAATGCTCCCTCTTTGGCGGGGAAGAACCCGCCCCATAGAAAAGTAGCTTGACAGGTGTCAGGCTCCTAAAATCAAAAGAGACACATCATGATATTTTTTTCAGGCAATTTCTTTATTGTTCCTCACCCATAGAGGGAGTCCAATTAAAGCAGGGGTAGGCAACCTTGGCTCTTTTATGACTCGTGGACTTCAACTCCCAGAATTCCTGAGCCAGCATGGCTAAGCATGGAAACTTCTCCTATGGCTGGCTCAGGAATTCTGGGAGTTGAAGTCCACGAGTCATAAAAAGAGCCAAGGTTGCCTACCCCTGAACTAAAGCATGCAAACACCATCATATAGCATATCCTCTGGGAACTATTGAGAAGGAGCTGTCTTCGCCCTCTTTCTCACACACAAGCTATCTGGACCAAGTTGTCTGTTGCTCCTTTGGGATGCAGCCCCTCACTTCTGGGAATCCAGACTGCATTCCATCGCGACAGTTTAGCTTTCATTGTGTAACCACCAACCTTGACACCTACTGTGATTTCAGATTCTCCTGCCATCAATATCTGCTTCCCTGTCTTTGCCAAATACATTTTCTTCCCCACCCCAACTAGGAAATCCTTGGGGGTTGTCATAAAATTAGGCATTGTGTACTTTAAAAAGGTGGCAACTTTAAGCGATGTGGACTTCAACTTCCAAAATTCCTCAGCAAACCATAGTCCAGATCCAATTTGTTTGTTGCTTGTGGGTTTTATGCGTATGTTGTTGGCCTTTCCAACTGCAGGGCTGGCAATCTTATTTTACAACCCTGTTGCTCATCACATGTGGCCAGTAATTAAGGAATAAGAATTGATTTACTCAAAGGCTTCTTTCTGTACTTAAAGGCAGGCTGTGCACCTTTAAAATGATCTATAGTCAACGGCTACCAATGTAGGAATTTTGAGCTGAAAGGCAAGCTTTAAACTGGGTTTTGCCTAAAAGGAACTGGATAGTATGCAACACTTTAAAAGTATTGGTCAAGATAAGACAGGGGTCAGATTTGATCTTCACTTCCTGTCTAGGTACCTTGTCTTCAGTGAAAGCAGACGATTCTCAACGGTCAATGTCATCAGCTATTTGTTTTGTATTTTATAATTTATTTTTTAAATTTATATACAGCTTTTCTCACTGTTGAAGCTGAGCACTAAGTGTTTCACAGCTGTTGGTTTCTGTCCCACATTTTGTAGGGAAAACATGGTCAAGTTTAACTGAACGTTGATTTCAGTCTGGCTCCGCCTACCTCTTTGGTCTGACTTCACCTCCTTTTTGGGGGGGGACGCCTCTCTGGATCTAACCATGACCTCATTGCTGAGTTTCCAGTTCCCCAAATCTTTCCATCCTCTTCCGTCTGCCTGCAAAAACTAGAAAAACCAGCTCTTCTCCGGCTTCTAAAATCCTGTTTCTTAGAACTGTAGAATGTCAGGCTTGGAAAGCACCTCAAAGGTCATCCAGTCCAACCCTCAGGGGGGGGGAATCCGCTCTTCCTTGCTTTCGCTTTTGTGTTAACGGCGAACCGATGACCCCATTTTAAAAAAAAAAATGCTCTTTTTTTGTTTTCTTCGTAGCTTTCGTCTTTCTTTGCTTTATTGTTATTTTTCTTTTATCTTTCTCTCGCTCTAATCTAGGATGCAAAGAAGGGACCTAATGCGCTCATGAGACGCAATAGCTTCGTCCCTCTGGCCAGTCCAGAGCCCGTCAAAAAACCACGCATGAACAGGTTTGAGGATCATGCCGCTGCTTCGGCCGCCTTGCCAATCCATACCTGTCTATCTCCTGACGGCCCGGTCCAGCTTCCCGGACAAGTTGGTTCTCTTTTCTTTTTGTTGGTGTGTTTTTTGTGGTGATGGTGTGTCGTCACTTGCAGCATGCTTAACCGTCCTGTTGTCTGACCTCTTAGGACAGTGGTCCCCAACCTTTTGGGCATCGGATCGGTTCCGTGGAGAGAGGTTTTTCTGCAGACTGGAGGGGATGTGGTTTCGTGTACTGCCTGCATCCCGCGCGGATGGGGCTTTCCTTGTTTGCAAGGACCATTTTTTAGGATGCTGTGGCCCGGTGCTGGTCTGTGGCCCAGAGGTTGGGGACCCCTGTCTTAGGAAGCTGTGCTTGGTCTTGCTTAATTTTGTTTGAATGGACTTGACCGCCCGGGATTCTTCTTCTCCCTGACCCTCGCTGACCTTCTCTTGATATCTATCACTGGAGGATTAAATGTTTTTGGCTAGCTAACCTAACTAACTTGCACAAGCCTGTGAGAGTGTGAGTAGCTTAATCTTGGTTGGACAGGCCCTTCAGCTGCCACGGAAATCAGGACTACCAACTACAGATAATCCTCAATTTAACAGTCCCAATGGCAACCAAAATTTCTATGAATTATGCCCAACGTTGCGACTTTTTGCCCCAGTTGTTCAGCGGACCGCTGCAGTTGTGAAACGAATCGTGTGATCCTTTCGCAAAGCTGGCTTCCCACGTCGATTTTGCTTTCAGAAAGCAGCCAGGAAAGTCCTAAATAAGGATCACGTGATCCTGGGATGCTGCCTTTGTCATAATTATGTGCTAGTTATTAAGCACCTAAATTTTGCTCACCTGATGCTAGAGATGCTCCTACAGTTGTGGCAATAAGTGCAAGGGCCGGTCGTACGTTATTTTTTTTTCAGCACTGTTGTAATTTGGAACGGTCACTAAGCAAAATATAATCCAGAGGGGCAATTCTTTCCTTGAAGGTTTTGTTGAATGTTCATTGAAGAATGTTGGTTTGGTTTGGGTTGTATTATTGCCTTTTATCAGTCCACACGTTTAAGTTGATTACGATCTCCACTAACTATTCTTAAAAGACTCTGATAGGCTCTGATTAGGAGCAAAGGATTTCAGTGGCGTCAGATCAGTTACCGGCTGAGGAAAATATTTCTAGCTCAGGGTTGAAATGAGGGATCATCAGTGCTCTCTGAGCTTGCAGACGTGTTAGAAGGGAGTGAAGAGGAGGAAAAGAAAGGGAAGAAGGGAGGGAGGAAGGAAAGAGAAAGAGGAGAAGAACTGTGGGATCCTTGGGGCTCTCTGAGCTTGGTGGTTTTCTTGCAGATGTTTCATGACCCAGCTAGGTAACATCATCAGTGTTAGAAAGGAATGGGGTTTGCTTTCTGTTTACATAGAAGTATACAGGGAAAGACACTCCCAGCAAAAGAGAATATTTGTAGGGTTGAAATGAAGGTGTCCTTAGCGCTCTCTGAGCTTGGTGCTTTTCTTGCAGACATTTCATTACGCAGCTAGGTAACATCATCAGTGTTAGTAGGGAGGGAGATTTACTTCTAGCACCAATGATGTTATCTAGTTGGGTAATGAAACGTCTGCATAAAACGACCAAGTTTCTGGGAGCACCAAGGACCCCCACCTGAGATCAGTTGCTTGTCGTATTTATTTGGGGGGGGTTGACTCTTGAGAGACCCAGACCAGTGATGGCTCCTCCATCAAAAACATGACATTCTGTGTTTCTTACAATGAAAAAAATTCAAAAAAAAACCCCCCGAACACTTTTGCATTTGGCTACTTGCGGGCTCCGTGACCCTCAACCTGGAGAAAGTCTACAAATGTTTTTGTCTGCTGGCTTGTAATCTCCAGGCCTGTTTTGCAGGGCCAAAGGAACAAGATTGCCCTGACTTGACCCATTTTCTTTCTTTCTTTCTTTCTTTCTTTCTTTCTTTCTTTCTTTCTTTCTTTCTTTCTTTCTTTCTTTCTTTCTTTTTCTTTCTTTCTTTCTTTCTTTCTTTCTTTTAAAATGGGAAAGGTCAGAAGAATTTCTCTGTTTCTGCCAGATACAGATCAGTGCAAGCGTCCTGGCTTCATTCTAAACTGCAGTGTTTTGAAATTCAGCCATTTTAAGAGGGGCAGACTTCAACTCCCAGAATTCCCCAGCCAGCCATGCTGGCTGGAGAATTCTGGGAGTTGAAGTCCACCCCTCTTAAAATGGCCAAAGTTGAGAAATGCTGTGCTCTCTGTTAGCAACCCTTGAAAAGACTTCCAGTTACAGGTTTTTCTTTTATTTTGATACTTCTTTTCCATGCACGGAGGTTGATGTTTCATGTCACTTGATTCGTTTCATTCTACCCCATTGCTTTCCATCTCCGGGCTGCCATTTTCTGATTGTTAAGCTTTCATGCGCCTTCACTGATTTCTTTCCCTTTACTTTATTTCTTTTTTCTCTTTTTTTCTTTTGTCTCTTTACAGCCATTACTGGGGAAAGCTTGCCTGTAAGTAATTTTTTTTTTTATAGTGTTGGTGATGTTGGTTTAACCTGTTTCTTTGCTGCCTGGCTGGCTGTGTCTTTGTTTCTTATTTATTTATTAAATTTATATGCCGTCCATCTGGCCGATAAGGTGACTTTTGATTTTGCTACTAAGAAGCTGTGCTGAGCTTTTAATTTTCCATCTGGCTGTTGCACTTCTGTCATTAATCATGGGGAATTTTCATAGACTGAGAGAATAACAATAGGATAGCTGATGATAGATAGATAGATAGATAGATAGATAGATAGATAGATAGATAGATAGATAGATAGATAGATAGATGTAGATTGATTTAGATAGATAGATAGATAGATAGATAGATAGATAGATAGATAGATAGATAGATGTAGATTGAGTGAGATAGATTGATTGAGATAGATAGATAGATAGATAGATAGATAGATAGATAGATAGATAGATAGAGATATAGATAATGATAAATATAGGTATAAATTCAGACAGACAGACAGATAGACAGATAAATGATAAATATAGATAGATGGATGGATGGATAGATAGATATAGATGATAAATATAGGTAGGTAGGTAGATAGATAGACAGGCAGGCAGGCAGACAGGCAGACAGATGATAAATGTAGGTAGATAGATTAAGATGGATGGATGGATGGATGGATGGATAGATATAGATGATAAATATAGGTAGATAGATTGAGATGATAGATAGGATAGATAGATAGATAGATAGATAGATAGATAGATAGATAGATAGATAGATAGATAGATAGATATAGATATAGATAATGATAAATATAGGTATAAATTCAGACAGACAGACAGATAGACAGATAAATGATAAATATAGATAGATGGATGGATAGATAGATATAGATGATAAATGTAGGTAGGTAGGTAGATAGACAGGCAGGCAGACAGATGATAAATATAGGTAGATAGATTAAGATGATAGATAGAATAGATAGATAGATAGATAGATAGATAGATAGATAGATAGATATAGATATAGATAATGATAAATATAGGTATAAATTCAGACAGACAGACAGATAGACAGATAAATGATAAATATAGATAGATGGATGGATAGATAGATATAGATGATAAATATAGGTAGGTAGGTAGGTAGGTAGGTAGATAGACAGGCAGGCAGACAGATGATAAATATAGGTAGATAGATTAAGATAGATGGATGGATGCATGGATAGATATAGATGATAAATATAGGTAGGTAGATTGAGATAATAGATAGGATAGATAGATAGACAGACAGACAGACAGATAGATAGATAGATAGATACTCACTTAACTGTCTCGCTTAGCAACAGAAATGTTGGGCTCAGCTGTGGTCATTAACTGGAGGACTGCCTATATTCCTATCAGGGAGCATGGGAAGTTAAGAAAGTGAATTTTCTTAGGATAGCAAAGTGAGGGCAAAGGGGCAACAGAGAAGCTTGGCTTCAAGGTAGAAAGGGAAGCCAAATTAACTTTGGGGTGCTGATGAAGCAACCCGCATCCCTATTTTGAGCCAATGCTGGGTCAAGCCTTTCCCTCTCACCCATGACAGATGGCCGTCTTGTTCATTCCCCCCCCCCCCCGCTCGTCTTTATTCTCCTTGTACTGAAGTATAGATGCGGGTCTTTCAGCTTCACTCGTTTTTTTCCAAAAAGGTGTTTGCTGTGTTGTGTGTGGCATTTGCCTTTGCATTGGAATAACAGGTGTTGCAGACATTTGGGGTTTCTGTCCTTTCTCTCCTCCTCTCGCCCTCTCCCCCCCCTCTTCTCTCTCCTTCCCTTCCTCTCCTCTCCCTGACCTCCTGACCTTCCCTCTCCTCTTCTCCTCCTCTTTTCCTCCTCCTCTCTCTCCTCTCTCTCCTTCCCTCCCTCCCTCCTTCTTTTCCTCTCCCTGGCCTCCTGACCTTCCCTCTTCTCCTCTTCTCCCCTTCCTCTCTCTCCTCTCCTCCCTCTCCTTCCCTCCCTCCCTTCCTTTCCTCTCCCTGACCTTCCCTCTTTTCCCTCCTCTCTCCTCTTCCCTCCTCTTCTCCCCCTCCTCTCCTCTCCTCTCTCCTTCCCTCCCTCCCTTTCCTCTCCCTGACCTCCTGACCTTCCCTCTCCTCTTCTCCTCCTCTTTTCCTCCTCCTCTCTCTCCTCTCTCTCCTTCCCTCCCTCCCTCCTTCTTTTCCTCTCCCTGGCCTCCTGACCTTCCCTCTTCTCCTCTTCTCCCCTTCCTCTCTCTCCTCTCCTCCCTCTCCTTCCCTCCCTCCCTTCCTTTCCTCTCCCTGACCTTCCCTCTTTTCCCTCCTCTCTCCTCTTCCCTCCTCTTCTCCCCCTCCTCTCCTCTCCTCTCTCCTTCCCTCCCTCCCTTTCCTCTCCCTGACCTCCTGACCTTCCCTCTTCCCTCCTCTTCTCCCCTTCCTCTCTCTCCTTCCCTCCCTCCCTCCCCTTCTTTTCCTTTTCCTGACCTCCTGACCTTCCCTCTTCTCTTCCCTCCTCTTCTCTCTCTCCTCTCCTCCCTCTCCTTCCCTCCCTCCCTTCCTTTCCTCTCCCTGACCTTCCCTCTTTTCCCTCCTCTCTCCTCTTCCCTCCTCTCCTCTCCTCTCTCCTTCCCTCCCTCCCTCCCTTCCCTTCCTTTCCTCCTCCTGACCTTCCCTCCTCTTCCCTCCTGTCTCCTCTTCTCCCTCTCCTCTCTCCTTCCCTTCCCTTCCTTTCCTCTCCCTGACCTCCTGACCTTCCCTCTTCTCCTCTTCCCTCTTCTCCCCTTCCTCTCCTCTCTCTCCTTCCCTCCCTCCCTCCCCTTCTTTTCCTTTTCCTGACCTCCTGACCTTCCCTCTTCTCTTCCCTCCTCTTCTCTCTCTCCTCTCCTCTCTCTCCTTCCCTCCCTCCCTTCCTTTCCTCTCCCTGACCTTCCCTCTTTTCCCTCCCCTCTCCTCTTCCCTCCTCTCCTCTCCTTCCCTCCCTCCCTTCTCTTCCTTTCCTCTCCCTGACCTCCTGACCTTCCCTCTTCTCCCCTTCCTCTCTCTCCTCTCCTTCCTTCCCTCCCTCCCTCCCTTCCTTTCCTCTCCCTGACCTCTTGACCTTCCCTCTTTTCCCTCCTCTCTCCTCTCTCCTCTCCCCTCTCCTCTCTTCTCTCCTCTTATGGGAAAGAGAGGTAGAAATAAATATTCCTTTGGGTTTCAGTTGCTTTTATAAAAGTGACATGCCTTCTGAAAAGTTCATGGCTCCTTTTTCCTAAAATTCCTTTCTTCTTGCTGTTTTGGAACTATTCAAAGTATTTGGATATTTTAGAAATACATTGGTTTTTTTTTTAAATCAGGTACTCTATGCAGAAGGCTTACAGGGTTTCAGCATTTTTATTTTATGTACTTATATCCTGCCTTTATAGTTTTTTTATGGATCACTCGAGGCAGTGAACATGCCTCATATCCTTCCTCCCTCTTATTTTCCCCATAACAACAACCCTGTGAGGTGGATTGGGCTGGGACGGATTAGCCCAAAGTCATCCAGCCAGCTTTTCATGCCTAAAGCGGGACTAGAACTCACCATCTCCTGATGATTGGCCCAAAGTCACCCAGCTGGGTTGCATGCCCAGGCAGAACTAGAACTCACAGTATCCTAGTGATTGGACCAAAGTCACCCAGCTGAGTTTCATGGCTAAGGCAGGACTAGAACTCACCATCTCCTGATGACTGCCCCAAAGTCACCCAGCTGGCTTGCATGCCTACAGCTAAACTAGAACTCACCATCTCCTGGTTTCTAAGCCAGCACTAGACCAAACTGGCTCTCTAAATTCCTTTAGGGTTCAACTTTTGCTTTTTTTGAGGACAAGCCAAGACTGAATGCAGAACGTACCAAGGTTGAAATCTACTAATACCAAAACATCCTTTTTGGAGCAACAAGCTTGTTGGGACTGGGCTATTTCAGCCTCCAAATGTTTGGCCTGCTTCCCTTTCATTTTTTGCTCCTACCCCCCCCCCCAAGGGGTTCAATTGATGATTAGCAAGGCAAAGGAGATAATCTTCCAACCAATCTGTTTCTTTCATGGTGTGGTGCAAGGGTTGTCAAGCAGCCTGGGGCATACTACTTTGTGTGTCCTGTCTACCAGCGTCTGGATCGTGAGTTGCTCACTTCCAGCGTAGTGTGCACGGTTGCTTTGAAGCTACCCAGATGTGTTTGCCCGTTCTCAGGTATTCTGCAAAGATACCTTTGAGTCAATCTCAGTTCCCGATGATTGCACACTTAACAATGGCAAATAATTTCTATATTTCTGCCTTTTCCTGAGGGGTTCCCCCCCCCCGATTTCTCAGACTAGCTATGCTCGTAGAATATTTTAGTCCCCCCCCCCCCAACCAATCCTAACCAGGTCCAATTCTGCTTAGTCTCCCACTTTCAAAAAGTTGAGTCGAGGGATATGACCAAATTACAGGTCCCTAATCTGTCGATGTAGCAAAATAATAGCAATAGCACTTAGACCAGCGGTTCTCAACCTGTGGGTCGGGACCCCATTTGGGGTCGAACGACCATTTCACGGGGGTCGCCAAACAACGCAGTCCGCCATTTTTTTCCCCTTTTCCTTAGCTGTGCTACTCCCTTTTATTCTATTGGCTTTGAAAGCCAATAGAATAGACTCTCTTGAATAGAGTCTAATTCTATTGGCTTTCAAAAGCCAATAGGAATTGTCCAGGCTGTCTCTGCCCTGCTGAGCCCGCCAAAAGTCCCAGTCTGCAAACAGTGCTGCACCAGTTGAGTAGTCCTCGACTTACGACCGGTTGGGGGTCGCGGCATTAAAAAGGTTGAGAACCACTGCCTTAGACTTATATACCGCTTCACAGCCCTCTCTAAGCAGTTTACAAAGTCAGCCTGTTGTCCTTCAACTATCTGGGTCCTCCTTTTACTGACCTTGGAAGGATGGAAGGCCGTGTCAACCTTGAGCTGGTCAAGACTGAACTCCAGGATGTGGGCAGAGTTTGCCTGCAGTACTGCATTCTAACCACTGCACCACTAGCCCTTCCTCCCTTCCTTCCTTCCTTCATTCCAACTTAGCAATAGCCCTTAGACTTACATACCACTTCACAGTGCCTTTACAGCCCTCTCTAAGTAGTTTACAAAGTCAGCCTGTTACCCCAACAATCTGGGTCCTCCTTTTACTGACCTCGGAAGGATGGGAGGCCGCGTCAACCTTAAGCCGGTCAGGATTGAACTCCAGGCTGTGGGCAGAGTTTGCCTGCAATACCGCATTCTAACCACTGCACCATCATGGCTCCTTCCTTCCTTCCCTCCCTCCCTCCTTTCATTCCCACATTCCTTCCTTCCCTTCCTCCCTCTCATTCCCATCTCCTTCCTTCCCTTCTTCCCTCCTTCCTCTCATTCCCATCTTCCTTCCTTCCTTCCTTCCTTCCTTCCTTCCTTCCTTCCTTCCTTCCTTCCTTCCTTCCTTCCTTCCTTCCTTCCCAATAGATTTATGTATTGCTTCATAGTGCTTTACAGCCCTCTCTAAGTAGTTTACAAAGTCAGCCTGTTACCCCAACCATCTGGGTCTTCCTTTTACTGACCTCGGAAGGATGGAAGGCCGCGTCAACCTTAAGCCGGTCAGGATTGAACTCCAGGCTGTGGGCAGAGTTTGCCTGCAATACCGCATTCTAACCACTGCGCCACTACGGCTCCTAAGATAGTAGAACAGATAGTTGCTTTGAATTTCAGTTCCCTTCTGGAAAATGAGGGTGAGGATGGAGGTGTGATTATGTTACGTTACCACTGCCGGGATCAAAACTTTTTCTGCAGATCAAAACTTTTTCTGCAGTCAGAATCATTACATTGCATTTGCAATGTGAAGTGCTACAGCAGAGGTCCCTCAACCTTTTGGGCACCAGGGACCAGTTTCTTGGAGAGAAGTTTTTCCATGGACTGGAGGGTGTGTGGTTTTGTGTGCTGCCTGCATCCCGAGGATGGGGTTTTGCTTGTTTGTGTGGACCGGTTGCCGGCATGCTGTGGGCCGATCCCAGTCCATGGACCAGGGGTTGGGGATTCCTGTGCTACAGGACTTCCTTTAAGAGAATAAGCTTTATCTATATTGCTTCATTCATTTTTTTTTAAAGACATTTGAGATGTCCTACAAAAAAAAAACCCTAAGGATATACCTTTGACATGGAATGTAAAACACAAGACGGAGCCCATCAACACAGCCCGCAGATCCCATCTTGAAAAGTAACATGTATTTCTCCCGGCGAGCACAAGGGCCTCTCCAAAGCTCCTTTAAGCTAGCAGATTTATATTAGTACCTATATAGAATAGAATATTTTGTAGCTCAGGGTTTTGAACTGTGGGACTCGTGGACTTCAACTCCCAGAATTCCTGAGCCAGCTATGCTGAGGGGAACGGGAGAGGTTTCCAAGCTGAGCCATGCTGGCTCAGGAATTCTGGGAGTTGAAGTCCACGCCTCATAAAAGAGCCAAGGTTGCCTACCCCTACTCTAGGAGGCTCACCGCTTAGAACAGGAGGACTTAGGACAGGGATAGGCAACCTTGGCTCTTTTAGGACTCGTGGACTTCAACTCCCAGAATTCCTGAGCCAGCCTGGCTCAGTTTGCAAACCTCTCTCTTTCCCCTCAGCATGGCTGGCTCAGGAATTCTGGGAATTGAAGTCCACGAGTCATAAAAGAGCCAAGGTTGCCTACCCCTGACTTAACCCTTGTAAAGAGAACAGGCCCTTTGCATGCATATCTAACAATTTTTTTCTCCTGACTCCGTTTCACCTCCAGTTTTTTCCCCTCTCTAGAACTCTTATCGCCACTATCCTTGTGTCTTCTGCATGTTGTTCTAGTTGTGCTGTTTCTCCTCCCCTTTCTCCAGACCCAAAGCCACCGGCTCATGTTGACCTTCTCCCTTTTTTCTTCCTTTATCGCCAGAACCTGAACACTCCACACACGCAACCTTGACACTCTTTTGGCGCTACAGCAGGAACCGCGGATGGAAGCCAAGCGCCCTAGCATCATTCATCTCCGAAACTTGCAGTCTGCTCCACATCTCTGTTCAGCTCCAGTTGATTTGTTGATGATCTCCATCGCTGGTTTATATCTTGCCTTCTTGGGACGTAAAAAAATGGAGTTGTGGAAGGAGGAACCACCAGAGAAAAAGAAAGAGAGAGAGAGAGATGGATGATGGATGGATGGATGGATGGAGGAAAAAAAAATAAAGGAAAAGAAAGAGACTTATTTCATCAGCATATAAACTGTGAATCTGAACCTGATTTTAAAGCTGGTTTATTTTTTATTTTTTTTTTCATCTCTACTTTGGTAGACTCCAGCAAGCATCAGAGTGCATCTGTACGCACCATACATCCTAGGTCTCTTTGTTATTCTGTTTTTTTTCTTAAGGAACGAACTTGCCTTGCAGAAGATCACTGTGCTGATCCCAGCGTCTCTAAGATAAAGGATTAGGGTCTGCCTAGGTGGGCTGCAGCTAAGACAGAGGCAAAGGGGAGATGAAAAGTTTTCTGGGTTACATCCGTGAGTCTGTTCCATCTATTCGTTTCTATCTTAGGGAAGGATTCTCCATGAATTTTAGCTGTCCTCATGAACTGGTCCAAGACAGAGGCAATCAGTTGCTCTCAGACCTGGAGAGAAAAGGGATAGAGGCCAAAAGCTTGGGAAAAACAATTGTGAAATGTTGTTTTATTTCCACAGAGCCTACACACAAGCCACACTTCGTAAGCGAGAGCCTCGCGACTCTTCTACGGGCGCATAAACATCCGCCATCTCCACCGGGACTGTGTCCTGGCCCTGCTTTGGGATAGTTTTTGTGTGATGGGACACAAAAATTTTTGTGGACCCTGACTTCTCAAGTGGGTGGGGGGAGGACTTACCACTCAGGCTCGACTCCAATCCATTTTTAAGTCCAGTGTTAAAAGAGATGTGCTGGTCTAAATTTTCAGACCTGGGGTGTATGGTTTCGCCCCACCTTGCCTTCTCCCCTTGCGTGTTTGTGTGTGGCTTGTGGGAAGGTCTGTCCGGGGACCGCTGAAGGCTTAAGATGCCTCTTTTACGTTAGAAGCATCCCACGGTGCAAACAGGGTATGTTCCTATCGACCGACGAATGAGCTTCCGGCAACTGGGACGTTCGTAGAGATCTGCAAATCTGGAGTTGGCAAGGCTGTTTTTCAAGCTTTCCACTCCTTGAGTCAGCCACCGGAAACGGTTTCTGATCCTCACGTTTGAGACGCCACTGTTTGATCCACCATATTAAAATCTGTCTTGGCAAGTTTTTCTATCAAGGAGAGGAGTTTAGGGCTATAGTTCTGTCCTCAGCGTGGCCAATAAAAAATTTAAAAAAGTGAGACGAATGGCTGATGTACCCCAACGCATTAGAATAGCCATGCTAGGAGCAAAGTTAAGATTAGTTTCATTCAGGTGAGTTGATTATTATGGGCCTCCAGGGACCCCCCCCTTCCTTTTTTTACATGTTGAAATAATTATCCTTCTTAGAAGCAGTAGAGGGCTGTTTTAAATGATCGTTTTTGCTAGTTTTGAAGGACATCTGAGTAAGCATGCTTTCCTTTGGAGCAGAATTTCACTTGGTGACTTCTCAGCCGTTCTCCTGTGTCCCAGTTCATAGGCCTCACACAGTTTATAGGCCTCACGTGTGGCTGACAAAAGTAACAATAGGCTGGTTTCGAACGCAGAGCTTCTTTAAGACTGAACTGTCCTGCCAAAGGGTTACTGGAAAAGCTGTCCAGGATGAGCAATTGGTGGGCAGGGTGAGCTGCCTTGTGTGCGAATCTCGCAGGGCGATAAAAGGTGATGTTATTTTCCAAATAAAGGATTGTTTGACCCAGACTCCAAAGTGTTGACTTGCTAATCCGAGATGGTTTGTATATGTGTAGTAACACTCCGTGTAGATCAGAGGTGGGGAATGATGGCCCTTTTATGACTGGTGGACTTCAACTCCCAGAATTCCTGAGGCAGCCCACGTGGAATTCTGGGAGTTGAAGTCCACAAGCCACGAAAGGGCCATCGTTCCCCTCCCCGCGGTGTAAATGAAAAGCTTTTTCTGCTTATTAAAATTAGCTTGTTTTATTCTTGTTTTGCTTTTTAAAGACAATTTTTATACATTGGGTGTTTTTCGGAGCTTGTATGTGCCCGAGCACGCAAGATTGATCTTTTTTTTCTTTTTTTAAAAAAAATCCGTACCTAGGTGTGAATGGTTTCATCTCCAATCCGGCAAATATTTCCTTTTTAAATCCTGCGGCGAAATAGAGCAAATGGGTGCAAATAAAAATTAACTTTTCCCATCCTCCCCCCAAAAAAGATCCGGGCTGACAAATTGCATTTTGTGATCAACGTTTTAGGCCAACTGTTTTCTTACAAATACTGTCCATTCGAAAGAGGGAAGTAAGGAAATAGAGAATGATAAGGGTGTCTCTCACCCATCTGGAAAACAGAAATCTCAGAACAAAATGGATTTTTCCTGTTTGAAAAGAAGGGGAAAAGCTCCAAAGGCTGTTAATTACCGTATGGTTGTGGGATTGTGTGGGGTGTTTGTGCTTGCAGGGTGTGGGGAACAAGAATAGGACATGGCACAGAAATTTAAATGCCATTTAAATATCACGCCAATGGTTCCTTGTCAGCTTGAGCTTTTTTTTTCCTTTGATACTTGAAGTTAGATTTTTTTAAAAATCATTTTTAACAGCAAGAGGCTATTTATTTATTTAACTGATCTCGCAGAACCACCAGAATCCCCCTTCTCCGGTCCTCGTAAATTTTATACGAAATTTTAAGTTGTGTGTGTATGTACAGGGTGATTTTATCTTCTTTCCCCTCATCCCTGGAGGTGAAGAGCAGCGTAGCTTATAAAACAGGTCTGCCTTTCTTTGGAAATTTGTATATTTTGCAGTTGCCGGAACAATTAAAATACCATCTTTAACTAGAACTATCGGAATTGTGTTTTTTTGTTGTTGATCAGACGTCTCCTCTGTTGGAGGATATTGGATGATGGGTGTGAGTTTGGTGGGATCGATCGGTCTTTAGAAGCTGGATTAGGTATTTACATATAATTTTATTTTGGCCATGTCAAATTTTGGCTGGAATGAGGTATGTCTAATTCAGGGGTAGGCAACCTTGGCTCTTTTATGACTCATGGACTTCAACTCCCAGAATTCCTGAGCCAGCTATGCTGAGGAGAAACGGAGAGGTTTCCAAGCTGAGCCAGGCTGGTTCAGGAATTCTGGGAGTTGAAGTCCATGAGTCATAAAAGAGCCAAGGTTGCCTACCCCTGGACTAGGAGGCTCACCACTTAGAACAAGAGGACTTAGGCCAGGGGTAGGCAACCTTGCCTCTTTTATGACGCGTGGACTTCAACTCCCAGAATTCCTGAGCCTGCATGGCTCAGCATGGAAACCTCTCGCTTTCCCCTCAGCATGGCTGGCTCAGGAATTCTGGGAGTTGAAGTCCACGAGTCATAAAAGAGCCAAGGTTGCCTACCCCTGGTCTAGTTTAATGAAAAAAAAGGACAAGGGGTGACATGATAGTATTCCAAAATTTGAGGGGCTGCCACAAAGAAGAGGGGTCAACCTATTTTCCAAAAGCTCCTGAAGATGGGACAAGAAGCAATGGATGGAAGTTAAGGAGAGAACTGAGGAGAAATTTCCTGATAGAACAATTAATCGGTGGAAGAACTTGCCTCCGGAAGTTGTGGGTGCTCCAACACTGGAGGTTTCTAAGAAGAGATTGGACAACCATTTGTCTGAAACAATAGAGGGTTTTCTTCCTGAGCAGGGGGTTGGACTAGAAGACCTCCAAGGTCCCTTCCAAGTCTGTTCTGTTACTCATGCAGGGGAATTCACTAGAGAAAACAATTATGCTTGGAAGAGTTAGTGGTAAAAGGAAACCAGGTTGGCAAAGAACGCAGCTGGACACCATTAAAGCAGACACCAGCCAGAATACAGAAAAACTCAAAAGAAACAGTATAAGATCAGAAGACACGGAGAGCCCTGGCCCATAGAATCACAAAGACTCAGACTTGACTGAATGGAGAACATCCTCATCCATTTTGTTATCTTTATCAAGGTATAAAATACAGAAGAAGGTGAAAATAGTAGAAAGATGGGGAATGAAAAAGGGAAAAGAAGGAGGTGTAAGGTAAAGGGGCAAAAGAAAAGCATTGACTTCCATCTCTCTTTAGTTTAGCGCATTCCCCAAGGTGCTTTTCCAAGAGGCAACAGGACTTTTTTTGTTTTTAATTCAGGCATTCTTAAAGTCATGTTTTCTATTTCAGCATTATATTTAATATATTGTCTTCCCTCTGAATACAGGGGTTTCATTGCACAGAATTAGCATTCCCTGGATAAATGCAAACTTCAGTACTTTTCTCCGTCCCAAATAGTTGAAGGTGACTTCTGTCAAGCACAAAAATCCAGATTTCTGTGCACAGCCAATTCTCAGCGTGAGGTCCCCCCTTTTTTTAGTGCTATTGTTCAAATGGTCTCTAAAAAAATTGTTGTGACTCGTGAGCTGCCTGTAGAAAGCTCAAAATGCAGAAGTGGTTCCCAAGTAGTCCTGGATTTATTATCACAATTGGGCCCCAAATTTCCACTGCTAACCAAGACAGTTGTTAAGTGGGTTTTGCCCCCTTTTGCGACTCTTCTTGCCACAGTTGTTAAGAGAATCACTGCAGTTCTTAAAGTTAGGAACACGGTTCTGAAGTGAATCTAACTTCCCCCACCGACTTTGCTTGTCAGAAGGTCACAAAAGGGGGATCACGTGACCCCCCCGGACGCTGCAACTGTCGTAAGTATGAATCACTAGTCCATGTGGATGCTGCAATGGTCACAAGTGTGAAAAACGGTCATAATTTATCTGAGGGGCTGCCACAAAGAAGAAGGGGTCAACCTGTTCTCCAAAACACCTGAAGGCAGGATAAGAAGCAACGGATGGAAACTGATCAAGGAGAGAAGCAACCTGGAACTAAGGAGAAACTTCCTGGCAACTAGAACAATTAACCAGTGGAACCACCTGCCTCCAGAAGCAGTGAATGCTCCAACACTGGAGGTTTTTAAGTAGAAATTGGACATTCATTTGTCCAGAAAGCTATAAGATCTCCTGCTTGAACAGGGGGTTGGACTAGAAGACTTCCAAGGTCCCTTCCAGCTCTATTCTAGTCTGAATTGGGTATGTCTAGTCTAATGAAGAGAAAGATGAAGGGTGACATGATAGCAGTCTCCCAATATCGGAGAGGCTGCCCCAAAGAAGAAGGAGTCAAGCTATTCTCTGAAGCACCTGAAGGCAGGACAAGAAGCAACGGATGGAAACTGATCAAGGAGAGAAGCAACCTGGAACTAAGGAGAAACTTTCTGACAGTGAGAACAATTAACCAGTGGAACCACCTGCCTCCAGAAGCGGTGAATGCTCCAACACTGGAAGTTTTTAAGAAGAGACTGGACAGCCATTTGTTTGAAATAGTTATAGTGAGGATTTCCTTCCTGAGCAGGGGGTTGGACTAAATGACCTCCAAGGTCCCTTCCAACTATTATTATTATTATTAGTCACTTTATCCAATGGCATTGTACCTTCGAGCAGTCATTAAACGGAGTCAGGCAACATAAACCTGACCTAAACAAGTTTCAAAATATTTGAAAATGTCTCTGGCCAAGATCTTGTAATACAAGGGATTGTCCAGCAGAAAAGCGATGGAAAATCCCAGCCGTAAAGCATACTTGTTTTTAAAACCAAGCTTTGAGCAGCAAAGGTTTATAGAGAACAAAGATGCTCCTATATTGGAAGATTATCAAAAAATACCTTTGAAGGACTCTTTGTCCTGCCAAAAAACCCGGCCCTCGAGATGAAAGATGGGAACCAAGCTGTAAGCAAACAGCTTGTATCTGTTCTCGGGTCTCACCTTCCTATTAAAAAATGGGGCAGAGTAACTGTTCCTTTTCTCAGCCCTGAAACTGATCCTGCAATCCATTTATTATTATTATTATTGTTATTATTATTTTTGGATAATTGAGAGCAAGCTGGAAAGAAAAGTGAAGGCCTGTCTCTGCTCTTTAGGATCCGGAAGTAAAATTGGAACACATACACTTACGGGTGTCCATGTGCCCAAAAAAAAAAAAAAAGTCAAGATGGCAGCCATAACCACCTCATCTCCATTACAATACAGGTAGTTGTTGAAGTAAACCGGGGGGGGGGGTGTCTTCAAACTTGGCCCTTTGATGATGTGCAGACTTCAACTCCCAGAATTCCTCACCCAGCGTGCCTGGCTGAGGAATTCTGGGAGTTAAAGTTCACAAGTCATAAAAGGGCCAAGTTTGAAGACCCCTGTCTTAAATCTAACAAACAAAATGGAGGCTGGCTGAGGAATTCTGGGAGTTGAAGTCCGCAAGTCATAAAAGGGCCAAGTTTGAAGACCCCTGTCTTAAATCTAACAAACAAAATGGAGGCTGGCTCAGGAATTCTGGGAGTTGAAGTCCGCAAGTCATAAAAGGGCCAAGTTTGAACACCCCTGACGTAAACGGTTCATGTAGTGACTGTTCAAAGTTACAACTGCACCGGGGGGGGGGGGGGAGAAGTGACTTATGGATTGCTTTTTACACTTATTGCAACGTCCCCATGGTCACATGATCAAAATTCAGACGCTTGGTAAAATGGTTCGTATTTATAACGGTTGCAGCGTCCCGGGGCTACCTGATCCCCTTTTGGAAAAACAATGGGGGAATCCAGTTTCACTTAATAACCGTGTTCCTAACTGAATTTCGATCACATAATTGTGAGGACATGCTGCAGGGGTCGTAAATCTAAGGATCGTTCATAAGTCATTTTGGGTGTGTGTGTTGCAACTGCCATTACTCAACCAACGGTTGTAAGTCAAGGACTACCTGTAGAATGTAGGTGGGAGACCACTGGGAGACACCCCCCCCCCAGCTGTAAGATAAACTAGGAAGTGGGGGGGGGGAGAAACATCCTGGAAAAACAGTAACCACTGTCACGAGAAAACAAGGTGGAGGCGTTTGTGTAAACACCAGAAACTGAAGCTAACTCAAGGGAATTTTTATTTACTTAAAAAGGAAGTCACGCTGGCTGTGACCTGGCAAAGATGATTAATCTAGGGCAGGGATAGGCAACCTTGGCTCTTTTATGACTCGTGGACTTCAACTCCCATGTTGGCTCAGGAATTCTGGGAGTTGAAGTCCACGAGTCATAAAAGAGCCAAGGTTGTCTATCCCTGATCTAGGGAAATGACTCCAGAGAACCAGATCCTCATTCTGCTTTTCTGTACGATAGATCGGACGCTTGAGAAACCTGTGCCCCATCAGCCACAGCCAGTGATGAGGGTTTGTGGGAATTGTAGTCCAATAAAAACCACCTGTGACTCTGTTTTATGGAGTGGAGTAATAGCCACACATTGACCCAGGGCCAAATTAGAAGAGAGTGCAGGTTATTCTATCTGGGAAGTTAAATGTTACCTGCTTAAAAGATAATAATAATAATAATTTGATTAGTTTCCATCTGTTGCTTCCTGTCCTGCAGTGTGTTTTCAATCTTGGGAGAGGCATGATGTTGTAAGTAAGACAATGGTAACGGAAAAGAGTTAAACTTAAAACCAGGAAAGATAAACAGCTTCATTAAGTTTGATTGGAACATGCAACCGATTGCTCCTTGACAGCTGATAATCAAGGACAAAGTAGATAATAATCTCTGACTCTAGAGGACAGCTCACGTGAAGTGTTAATACCACTTTACAATGCTTTGGTAAGGCCACACCTGGAACACTGCATCCAGTTTTGGTGATGTAATAAAGATGTTGAGACTCTAGAAAGAGGGCAGAGAAGAGCAACAAAGAGGCTAAAACATATAAGGAATGGTGGCTGGAATTGGGGATGTCTAGTTTAATGAAGAGAAGGACGAAGATGACATGATAGCAGTGTTCCAATA